TGTGAGACGAATAACTTCCACTCATGGTACTTGACATCGGCAAAGACAGACACGAATATCGATGAGGCGGCCCGCGACCTGGCCAACGAAGTTCTTCGGCGTCAGCAGATCGTCGAATGTCGAGCAGCAATCATCGCCGCCGAGAATACGATGGCCTTGAACGACCGAATGTACGGAGAGCCTGTCAAGAGGTTCAGATGCTGCTGACATTAGGTCTCCGAGCCATTGGCACCCACGCTTTAGGGATCTTGTGCTGGAGGAAAAATCTAGATTGGTGGAATCCTTCGCTCAAATCACTGAATAGACAAGTGATCGAGAGCTCCACCCGATAGCTCGATCGTCGAGCTAGCCTCATGGTCTGGTTTTACTGTCCACTTACTCAGACAGCACGCGAAATTCCTCTACGAAGTTTAAATCGAATCCGGGGCTCGGGGAGGCCGTGAGCCGTCGTCGAACAATTTCAGCGGCGGATTCTCGAAGCCCATTCTCACAGGAGCACCCGTCAGAATATTCGAGGGGTTGCTCCTAACTGCCTTACGCGGCGCCGGCGGAAGAAACCGCTCGATGCTTGTTCGGACAGCGCGGCCATGACGGTTTTCGGATTAGGCCGGATATTGTAAATCACTGGGCCCTGATTTGAAAGCACGAAAAGGCCACAAAACGAATAGCCCGCAGCGGCCGATCAGAAGGCGACTAAGAAGGCCGGAAAATAAACTCATCACAGAGAAAATTCGCAGTACGTTGGTTTTCCTCCCTGTTCGCTCGTCAACCCTCAACCGGATGAGTTGGCCCATTCTGACAATCTTACGCTCATCTCGGGCGATCGGCATTTCCATGACCATGATTCGCGGCTATACACGGCTCTTACAGTTGCTCCGAATGCTCTGTCGTAAAACAGTAAAATTCAGCCGACTCACTGAACCAGCCGAACCTCGTCACAATGAGACGACGTTCGGTAGCGCTCCAGGAAAAAAAAAAACACTTTTCTGGTCCTTCTCCTCCATAACTGAGGGACCCGCAAACTATGGCGGCGGCAGCGGCGGTATGATGAGCGGATGATTCATCTGATATCCATCGAGGCACGTAGAGGCGAGGCCCACAAAAACGGCTCAATGCGTGATTCCTTTTCTGTCTTGTCGATAATAATGAGTACGCGCACGTCTCACAACTGTTGAACGTCTATATGCCGCAAGCTCGACCCCATTGAGAGCACAAAGGGGAAGCTGATTCTCAGATTCTTTGCCTCTTCTTTCTGCTCTAGCCCGGAGCTAGAGAGACAGACAGGCCCTAGAATTTCGGTCCATACGCTGATCGGTCGGAAGTTTTCCCCTATCTGGGTTCGAGTGAGCTTCCCACGGGCGATGCTCTGGCGCGTGGATATCTCGAGTCGCCTCCTGTGATTTCCAGAATTCGTTCCAGATCGTGCCCACGAATGATTGTCGTGTTAGTGAGTTCCAGCGAACGAGTGGAAGGAAAAATGTAACGGCAAGACTGTGGAGGTTCTTCACCCGGTTATTATCCAATAGAGCACGGTCGGTAATGTCAGCCCAACCCTTTGGAGAGATGCGGACTTATTATTAGAACGACCAA